AATAGTAATTCAGGAAGCAGATGGAGGAGATTGATTGTTTCCACAGATTATCTGTCTCATAACAAACAAACTGCTACGACATGGTGACAGCTTTAACAAATATGGAGAAAAGATATTTTTTATTAAAGTTATACTGCAGCTTGAATAAAATGCAACAGTTTTAGAAGTCTGGATTGCTTCATGTGTATTTTGCTCGTTGCTTCTGACTGTTGCTCATGGAGAGACATTTCAGTATCTAAAACTAACAGAAACATTTAAACAACCTACCTGCATACTGGATGTGGACTGTTGGATATTAAATTCATGAGCAGTAAATATTGTGCTAATTATCAGTATTGAACCAAAGAAAGCAAGGCAGATTCAAGCCTTTAAAATTGTGACGCTTTTTATGGGTCAAATAGACTCAAAAATTGCAACAGCAGCTGCGGGGGGGGGGTTAAATTTTCTGTCAGGGGGCCCAAGATTCCTGGCAGCGCCCCTGCCTACCTTAAAGGAGCCTGCTCTGATCTGACTCCTCCCACCACAACAAGACGTTTCTAAACTGGCTGAGATCCTGGAGCTCCTCGGGCTCTGAGTCCATGTCCCACCCGCTCACCAGCTGTTTTCCCCAGGCTTTAAAAACAGAAGTTATCAAACCACTGATGAAAACAATCTGGGTTAACGCTGCAAATTCAGAGTTTCATCATTCTGGATGCCTGGACCAGTCCAAACAACACGGTTACCATGGTGATTCCTGTCTGGACTTGTTTTACTGAACTAGGAGGAACTGGTTCTGAAAATGGACCTAAACATGGCCACCATCAAATCATTCAATAAAACAACAGAAACGCTCAATCTGTGCTCTCATGTGACTGTTTTATTTCTTTTTGATTAAAAGGTTCTGTCTCGGTTCAGACCCGGTTCAGATTCGGTCCTTCTGAATCGGGAAGCAATCACGCAGGAGCCACAGAGGTCCAGATGGTTCTTCAGCTCGAGTTGAACCACAGAGACTCTTCCAGGTTGAAATCGGAACCGGATTTGACCCGATCGGAGCTGGACTTCAGCAGCGCTACATGAGGCCGTGTTGGATCAGAATTTTGGTTCTTTGTATTTTCAGATTCAGACAGAACTTCTTCTGTCCACAGCAACATGAAGAGTTTATTCCCTTTAAATGTTCAGGCAGCATTTAGATCAGAGGGAGGAAACAGCACCACCGTGTGGCTCAAAGCGTCACCTACATCTGTTCTCTACACAGCTGTTTTCAGAGGTAGAAATCTTTACTAGTTTCTACAGATGATCTCAGGTTTTAACAGCTGGGATCAAACACCAATCCATCTTCTTCATTTTTAGTGATCTGCATCATCATCACATGACACAAACACAACAGCATCCACATGTAAAAGCCCTAAAAGATTATAGCACCACCAGTAAAATAAATCTGTATCAAATGTTTGGTCAGAGATTTTAAAAAAGGCACAAACTGACACCAAAACACGTCACATGACAGCTACAGATGGAGATCAGACGTTTCTCCACGGATCTACAGAGAACAAAAAACCTGAAACACACACAGGGTCGTCCCTTTCAGCCAATCACAGGCCTGGAGGTTTGGGGGCCTTCATCAGAGGAAGAGGAGGACTCACTGGCACCGCCACACCAACAGGCTGCAGAGAAGAGAAGAGCTCCAGATGTTTCATCCTGCAGCAGCCACACAGTCGCCATGGTTACCAGCCTCAATACTCAGTTTTAGTAAAGAACATTTAATACAGTTTTCTAAATTGTAACATTTAATCAATTTTTCTATCGTTATAATAAAATAAGTTAAAATTATAATAAAAAATCCTTTTTCACTATTAAACAAAAAATGATCCTATTCAGTTACACTCGGATCACGGCATGTTTCTGAAAGCTGCTCAGTGTTTTCAGGTTTTAATCAATTATTATTATTAATCTACTATTATTAACCCGCACCACAACGCCCGCGTGCCGTTTGTCCATTGCATTTTCTGGGCTGAGATTTAAGGGTTTAAACTCTGCCGGGTCCATTATGATGCTTTTATTGGGCAGCCCAGAGCCGCTCCTTTAGATTGACACCACATGCGACCAATAATGTGATGAAATGTTCTAACGGGCTACGAACCCAACCCAGCTGCATAAACACTAAACCTCCTGAGAAAATAAAAGGCAGAATGGAGCAATCACTGCTGAGCAGAACCAAAAAACCTGCTGATCAATTTCTGCTTTCATAGACAGCAGAGCTGCTGGTTCTGGTTCCGGTTCTGACCTCTTTTTTTTTTACAATAATATGTACAAGTTACATAAACAGTAACTAAAAGAACAATGAGGCTTAAGGAAGGTTAAAGAGCAAAAATTACAACAGGAAAAGGTTAAATACAGCAAATTAGGGCAGAAAACTGAAGTATTTAAGGATTTAGTATTGATACAGTACTTCAGAGAAAACAAATATGAAGAAACAGGCATATAAAGTATTCAATTTGGGTTGCAACTTCAGAAATTTGCAGCTGTGGATATTAAAATTAATATTAAGTTTATAGCAAAGACTATTTTTGTAGTGTTTAAACAGAAAAAGCCACATAAAATAGCTTTAAAGTTAAACAGTACATC